GCAGCACACAGAACTGATTGTATGGAAATGCATACAAGTTTCTGCCCTTTCAAGAATTCTGCGCTGGTGCTGGGGGAAGGTGTATTGTAAAGCCCCAGCTAGCCTGGCAAGCGCACACATACAACTAGGACTTCAGCAGAAGTTGCCTACGCACTGCTGCCCCAACATGACTTCAGGGTAGTAGTAAGGCAAACTGAAGAAATCATTGGTTTTGCAGTAGTGGTTTTTTGATAGCCTGGCATACTTGCCAGTATTTCAACAGCAGGTTGAAATAAGAAAATAGGAGTTGGCATAGGAGGACAGACCAGTGGTCTATTAGCCCAGTATCCTGCTTTTCACCAGCAGTCAGTGCTAGATAAATCACAGGAAGGTGAAACACCCACACTAATTGTGCATCTCTGTACAGAGTAGCAGAAAGACAATATTCTGAACCCAGCCGATGATTGGCTATGTGCCTTTGCTAATGAAAATGCTGGTGCTGGGTTTAAGTCATAAAAGTCTAAGCTATTCACAAAACTTACTTTTGCCTCCAGGATCTTTAGCAGCAGAGAATTTTGTGACAAATTATATCTATGTTCTATTTTTAATTTGCTGCATCCTAATTTCATTGAGTGCCTCCTGTTCTTCATTCAGATAGCTAGCCATAAAATGAATTCACAATTACAACTACTGCTAAGCTCAAAACTAAGCAGTCAGTAAAGGCAAGACATTTTTTTCTCCTTTTTTCAGATGGGCTCAACTCTCACAACTGGAGCCAAATTCTCCTAAGAGCTCAGTTCGCATTCAGAAACTGGGAGCTCCTGGGAGATAAGTGTTACTGGACATGGTCATGAATAGAATATGTCCAAAAGTTCCCTAAAATTGCCTTTGAAAGGAAAGCAGCACCTAATTTCCTTTTCAAAAAATAACAATACCCATTTTCCCAAAGAGCCTAACAGGGTAACCAACTGCCACTCCCTTTGTGTTTTCAGTTGTGTTTTTAATTGATAAATGTGTCTGGTTTTAATTAAAAAGTTATATATGAACCTACTGTTCGCTAGCTCTGCAGTGGTAGTCAATATATTCCTGCACCCTATGCATTGCCTGAATTTGTACATGCTTCCATACGGATTCTGATCAAAATTGCTTTGACCATAGAATTGATCCCCATATCCTATGCTCCCATTTATGTATTTGGACAATAATACTTATTCATTAACATTTGGTTGAGTCTTTTTGACAGAGAAGTCAATAGCTGGAATACATTTCCAAGTAAAGTGCTGGGATCAAATGGCATTAATATATTTAAACAAAAATTGGTGACTGCAGAATTTGATCAATTTATGGAGGAGTATTAGCTCCATACTGCAGGAAAACCAACTTCCTTTCTGCAGTCTGGAGGGTCATTTTGCTTTGATCAGACCTTTTCCCCCTGATCAGCAATAGGTTGAACATTTGCCTTACCATTTTTTCCTTTTTTTTTTTTTTTTTACTTTGCCTTTTTCTGAAACATTTGATTTTAAAATCACAACAGTCAAATATTGATGCTGTCAGATTCTTCCAGGGTGTATAAGTTGCTTCACCTGTAGCACAGCTGTATAACTATTTTATATACACCAGAGGCCCTGAGGCTGCAAACACTTATGTATGCAAGTGCTTAGCTTCACTACTGAGACTAGTCCCACAAATTTTTTTTCAATACGCACAGCAGTAAAGTTACCCAGCTGGATGGGTGCTAGCAGGATCTGGTCAAAAAATTCAATTTTATCAAGTAATACAATGAATTGTTCATATAATACTCCTGTGAGCCACGCGTCCAGTGGGTATCTGCAGTTTTCATAGCTAAGAAAAATACATTGCTATAAGTTTGTTTATGAAGTGCTGTGCATATTTTTGCAAGGTAAGGATAGTGTGTTGAAATGAGCGATCAGACCAAATCATCAGGCTACTGCTATTTGTTCTTGCCACAAAGAATAAGACTGGGAGAAATGAAAGGATGGGAGGTGATATTGTTGCCAGAGTGTGATGCCCCAGAGGTATAATGAGATGATCACGTCCTTAGTCGCACAATCCAAATAAAGAATCTAGCTTTGGAATGACAGAAAGGTGCCACTAAGGTTAATTGCTGTTCATCTCCTGGCTCTAAAAATCCACTACCTGCTCTTCTCTACTGAATGGAGGATGGAGCACATCTTCAATTTAAATGAGAGGGTGGGGAGGGGTGGTGCAGAATTTGGGGTTACTTTTCCCCTATTCTTGCTGTTCCTTTTTAGCCTGATCATTATTGCAGGCTCTTCTCTCGGTCTTCTTTTTAATAGCGAAACTTGGGACTCTGTTTTTAAACCAAGAAGGAACAGAGCTGCAAGAGCTTCGGCCTATGACTGCATAAAGCTCAGCTCCATGAAATGCTCTGTTCCTAACTGCTATAGGCAAACGGTGCTGCACCAGCTCTCAGGGCTCCCTCTGCACTTGACTGACCAACTCATCAGGAAATGAGCTGGCCCACAAATGGTGCTTGTTGTTATCAAGAGCCATAATAGAAATTGAATTTAAAAGAGAGAGAAGCAATACTTAACTCCTTAGGCTTGGGAGCTCATACTAATGTAAACCACCACACCCTCTGTGCCCTGGGAAGATCTTTCTGATACTTAAACTGTGCCCTGTATTACCTGACCTAATGCTACAAAGCATTTGATTTGAAGCCCTTTGATCAAATTACTTTGCTCTCATGACTTGGATCCTTCTTTTGCTTTTAGGTGTTCCCTGGCAGACGGGCAAGTCCATTGGCTGGGATCAGCCATAGAGCCACATTCTCTGCTGTTATCTTCTGCCTCCCTGGGCCCAATGGAGTTAAGTTAGTTCATAGCTTTCTCTTTTCCCTGCATGTCACAGGGATGCTGTTTTCACTTTTCAGTAAAAGAAAGCCACCTTTACAAAGCAAAGTAAGCTACCACAGGCTAAAAGCTAGAGGGGAACATGCTATAGGCATTATAAGTTTATACTGTTTTAGAGATTGTGTTTGTGAGATGTTCCAATAAGGTTGTCCTGACACACTCAGCCAGACAGCCAAGTCTTTCTTCTTGGCCAAGCAGTGACTGAAAGTTGGTTGTTGGGCTCCAGCTCACATCTCTCAGATCCAGGAGCAAAAACTGCTCCCATCGTTGCTCCTGGAAGCTGGAAGTGTTGGTTTCATTCCAGTGCTCAGGGCTGACTTTGAAGTTAGGTGGAGTAGGTAAATAAATAAGTAAGAAGATGGAGATGGCAAAAAAAAAATGGTTAAATGTGAAATGCCTTTTATTTGCCACCAATGATTGTTTTCTGTTAAAACTGGAAAATCAGTAAGGTAGCCAAATTGCTGTCAGCAAACAGCAGACAAGCAGCTCTTTCTGTTTGGATGAGCCAGTTCTCATCGTTGTTTACAAGTTCCCAGATTAGCTTATACTTGTGCACACGTGTAGTTGGCTAGCGGTCTCCAGGGATAGAGCAAATCATCACAACCAAGATTCAAGGTGCTAGTAACAGTCTCTTACGAAACCAGAAAGTTCTTTTTGAAACTCAATATTGCAGAAGAAAAGCTGAAATAGAAGCCAGTGATCTGAAGCCATCAAGCATTTCTAAAATACCTGAAAATAATTGTTCCAGATCTGCTGTGGTTGTCCTTACTGTTGAGATTCGCCTTCACAAAGACATTTTTGTTTGTCCTGCTGGTTCCAGTAGGTCTGAAAGAAGAGAAAAAGCAGCAAAATGTTGTTCTGAGTGAGGTAGCTCCATTTGATGATGTGGCTGTGCCTTGGAGCAATAACAACTCAATTCAATTGTGCTAATTTTTTAAAGAAGGCAGAAGTCCCTGCAAAGGAGGTAACTGAGCACTGATGCCCTGAAAAATTATGCCAAATGGCCTGTAATCCATGACAGAGCCTTTTGCCTTTTGTCGTGATTTTGGGGCCATTTCAAACACAGTGAAAGGATTTTCCCTTGGATGATAATGGAAGAAAATGTTCAGCTTTCCAGTTTTCAAGCCAGGGTTCTCTATCCTACGTCAGCTGATTCTGTTTATTGCTTCTGCCTCAAGCTGTTTAACTCTGGAGAATTTGCTTCCAGCCTGGAATGGTGTGCGAGACTGAAATAACATTTCGTGTCCTAGTGAAAGGTGAGCAGTAAGCAGATGATGCACACAGTAATTATATGGGAAGAGAATCGGAGATTAAACTGCAAGAAGATAGTACAATTGATCAAAAAAAAATTCCAGAATAATTCTCTGATGGAGCAGCTACAAGCTGATTGGGAAAGGCTAATTGATTTGATCAGGCTGTACAGAATAGAAAACATTCCCCTCTGGAGTTCGATGGACATACTCCATTCAGTCCACCTCTAGGAAGTTTTTTTTTTAATTTGTGATGTTCAATAGAAAACATGACCTTGAAATAGAAAAGCAACTCTAAGAAATTACCTGAAAGGAACAGTTACTTTCATGCTCCCCACCTGGGCAGAAATAACTTTCAGAACAAAATTATTCAAGTATTATGAACATGACCAAGAAGGAAAGTGTTGCTGCTTTGAAAGCTGTCAAGTGTTATCCTGCGACACTT